ACATTGAAAAAACCTATATAGTTGCAAAGATCTATGAATTTATATAGTACATACACATTTCTTTTAAAACTAGTATATTACAGTGATAAGAAGGATTTTTTGGTAATTTTTCATTTTTTAACTGTTTTGTTAGTGAAATGAAGTTCAACAACATTCAGATGAGCCACAATTCAGTTTGTCAGGCTTGGCTTCCTTTCATAATTTTTTTTGCTTCCTGATGCCATGAACCTGCTGCTACTCTCATAAGAGTTAAAGTTTATTTCTTTACACATTTTGCTTCTCATTTCTGTATGAATGGCTTCTATGTCTTGAGGGATAGAAATGTTATTTTCTGTGGCTTGAATTTACACTTCTCAAGAATCACATAGGTATGGCATGTTACAAGGAGGATGAATACTAAGAGGGTCTGAATTCCACGTTTACCTATTGTATTTCGAATTCACTTACAGTCCCATAAACAACTATTCTTAAACAAAAGTCTCACTGTATGTTACAGCATTACACATAAAAAGAAACTGGAGTTGTGCAGCACAGCATGGTGTTTTAAATGATACAGTTATACAGCATTTTATGTACAGAAAGTAGATAAAAAACTGTGCACGACATAAATGATATTCAAGAAATGCATTAATTTTATTCTCTTATTCAAAATCAGAAAAACTTAATGAAATCTTTTTTAAGCTCTCATAAATGCACACTTGAGAAATGTAAAAGAAGTGTTAGAAAATTGTCTAATATTACGCTAGTGGGGAAAAAAAAAAGAGACCTGTATGAAAAAAAAAAAATTCTCCACTCCAATGGAAGAAGGTTTAAGAAGCACAATGAAAAAAATGTAAATTGGTCCTAAAGAAAGAAAATCAAAGCTGATACAATGGAGTTTCCTACCATGAAGAACTTTATTAACTATAGTAATGAAATAGTACTTAGAAGTGGAATTTTCATTAAAAAAAATCATAATTATTGGTCAGCTCTGTTTCCCTTAAGTTTCAAGATTCATAGGAAGAATAGTTCTCTTAAAATTGCAGTTAAGCATCTAAATAAAGCAATATTTCATTCTGTAACATTCACAAAATCTTTACAGAACTGATGTCTGTAAGTGTATAGAGCTGCTCAGCATCTATATTTTCTGTAAGTAATATTCCTTATGTAGTAATATGTCATTAAATACATGCTGAACAACTCATACTTTCAAAACACCATGAAAAGTATCAATTAACACTCTAAGCCCAATGTAATTCACAGATTAATTTCACAACCCTGTGTCTGGGTCCTGAAAGTATTGCCTATACTTAGCTGTCAATTAGAGATTGAAGCAACTTAAATTATCCCTGTTTGAGGTTTGGTTTTGATTCCATAGTTAATTTCAAAAATTACACACGTTATTATTATAATAGAATGAGTCATCTGCTAATTATTTTTGACATCTATGATAATAAAAATATACAAATGTTCCAGTTATTAATAGAATTGGCCTATCTTTATGCAACTCAAATTGCCATGATTGTTGGACAAATTGGCATCAACTCACTCTTTCGTCTTTGAAATGGTGCAGCACCTTTTGTATCTAAGTTTTGTGAAGATATACAACCTATAAGTCTCTTTACATAACTCCAGATAACCAGGGTTTAACCCACTTTACTTTAAAGTCTTTCACCAAAATGCATGACTACACACGCTATCAAATATAATCTTCGACCGACCACATGCTGTGTAAGGGTACCAGTGAAATACTTCATAAACAGACAGAATGCAAACATGCACAAACACACTAACCACTAATTCCATAAACAACTTCAAGCACAGTACAAACAAAATGCATGCCAAGAAACCTGCTTGAAAATGTGTATTATAGAAAAATACACTTTCAATTTCTGAATGTTATTTGACTACTTATTACACAAAACCAAAACTATGCAGTCTATGATGGCCCTTTAATTAAACTTCTGCCAAGTTCCAGAGACTGTTTATTATTCCTTGTTCCTGGATATGTTACGCATAATATTAAAAGTACCTCTTCTTTTTCTCCATGATGTCACCTAATAAAATCAGGGAATATATACACACTATATGCAGATCACATTGAAAAAACCCAGTAATTATGGGGCAGAATTTGGGTACTCAGCAAACATAACAATCTTATAAATCACGAAACTTATTTACACTTGATAAAAATCCACATATGCACCACCACTTTGAACGTAGGTACATTCACTTCTATAGAGAATTTAAATAATAAGAGTTTTTTCCTTATTGGACTGATTACAGTGCAATCATGTCAAGACCACTTAAAGCCTCACAATGGCATTATAAAGTACCCAACATGGAAAGGGGCTGCCAAGTGAAACCCTAAGCCCACACTTCGCAGGTAGACCTGGTGCAGACAAATCTGAATTGCATTATGTTAGTGGAAAAAAAGAGAAGGTTGCTATTAAATAGAAAATAAGAGAAAAAAATCAGAGCCAAGAACCCATCCCTCAGGACCTGGGCATCAGTTCAGTCTGTGTGCTGGTATTTAGTCTGAGGTTCCTCCCCTCCTATCTGTTCTGGGGGAGATTGTGAGTTAGGACCAATTTTACACCCAGTTTAAGAGAGAAGTGACAAAAGATATAATTTAATGAAAATTACTCCCAGATTCTTCCTATATATTTTTATTACTGATAAGAAAAACAGCAACAGTGTTGTGACATGCTGTGCTTCATGTTTACTGAATGGCCAAACATGCAACAACCAACTCTTCTAGTCTTTTCCTTGCTGGATCTCTGACTTTGGTTATTTTGATTCTTAAACAGGTGTTTATGTTCAAAAAACCTGCATGAATATTGTGATCTCCAGTCCTTTGAAAAATTCTCTAATGCTGACCAAAAGTTTACAGGGAAGACTGTGGCAGAAGAGGGAAGATAAAAAGATGGTTTTGTTTGTTAAGGCTAAATGCACTCTTACAATGCCTAGCCAAGCACAGAACATCCAGGGTAGAGTTCACTGAGAATCAAAAGCAAAGAGAATGAGCTGATTGGTAAGAGGTCCTGAAGGGACAGGGTGAGTCCAGGTACAACACAAATGCGAGCACTGGTTGTAGGGCTAATCAATGGTTACAAAGAAATACTGGGGTAAATCTTTCAGGGCATATCTAAGCTGCCATTCCAAGGAACATAGGTTTAAGAACCACAATGAAAAAAGTAAATGGTCTCAAGTGAGCTAGAATTAGAAAATTACTAAATTAAACCAAACAAGTTTCACTGATGACTAAAAAGATCACAGTGTGGGCACTGTTTATTTTTTCTCATGATTCATACTGAGGAAATTTAACCAGTTGTCCATCCAGGCAGAAGAAGTCACTATCCCTGTGGCAGAGAGAGGATGTTCACTCCCCAGATGCTGCTGTTTGTAACTCAGCATAATAAAATAAATGAAATTAGTGGACTTGCAAAGTTGCACAGAATTTCACATACCAGACTGGCTGAAAGGGGATACCTCGTCTCTTCATCCATACTGCCCAGTAAGAAGAATTATCCCCAGAACAGTTATCATTTAAATTCACAAATACCATGAATCTTCATTACCAAATCGCACTGATTAAACTAATGAAATTCTAAATTCATTTAAATTGGTATAACTTTTGCACAACAGCTCAGTGTTCAAAAAAGAGCTATGTCTAATTAATTTATTGTTCTCTATTTTTACGACTTGTTTAATTTAAAACTCAATAAACACTAAGTGAAGACCTTTTCTGAATTTTCATTAAAAAGTAATTTCATGCCAGAAACATGTTTCTGAATACTCATCAGGATTAGGAAGTGTATCAGGTGAAGGTGGCAAACCTTCAATATCCTTGATATTTTAGAATTTAGGGAAAAACACACATCCACACAAAAATTTAATCAGGTGGGCATATAAAGAAGTGGAAATTCCTATGTTTTTTTTCAGGACTTTCCCTAAATCAATATTAAATAAGAAGATACTAGTTATTTATCTTTTATTTACCCTTCAGAACTTGCCTATACACAGCTTTAAATGTTCTCCTCTATAATCTGTGCATCCATATCATTCATGTGTCTTTTACCTGGTGACTGTCTCTGAAGAATACTATACTGATTAAGGTAATTCAGTCTGCCTGCCCATGCTCAGCACAAGCAAGGAGTTTTCAATTTTTCACTCTGACTAATAATCAGCTTGGGACAATCAACAGCACTGCATTTTTTCAAACTGAAATCTGATAATTTGCTACCTAGTACAAAGTGAAACACTATACTTTTGTAAGTTTAAGAAGGACTTTATCCTCTTGGTAGTAGAAATCTGGCACATGAGTTTTGTGGTTTTTTTCTTCCTCAGACATAAGGAAGTTGCTAGAGATATGGTTATTACATTCTTTGGTTTTCTTAAGTGGTTAGTTACTTGCCTAAATTCTTTTGTAGCAACCAATATTCTCTTGATGCAGCAAAATGACTTTTGTTTAAATTTTAAAAAATTAAAAATTTAAAGCTCTGGCTTTGGCATGGGTGAGTATTATTTGCCCAAAGCCATACTTGATTTGGAAAGCTTTGGCTGTGGTGGTGCAACTCCCTTGACACAAATTCAGGCTTTAGGTCAGTAGGGAATATTCAAGTCCCTTCCTGACAACTGAGCATGACTGGGGGATTAAAGATACCAGGTGACCTGACGTCTCCGGAGGTTGGCTACTGAAAAGTTGTAGCCAGAAGCCTTTTAACCCATATACCTGTCTGTGTGTTTATTAATGTCATCAGTAGTGGAAAACGTAGTATAAAGTTTAAAAAAATAATGTTCTATTTTTTTAAACTGGATTTATAAAGTCCAAATGTTTACTTAAACATTTTGGTACTGGGGCCTCTAGGATATGTTGGCAGTGGAAAAACTAACCTACACCAGATGGCAGAGGTTAAAGAAATACTATAAAATATGGCTTCTATTCATACGGTTCTCAGACAAACAGAACCCCAAGCAGAAAAAAACTGTGAAAGTGGAAAACCTTTTCATTTGCTTACATTTCTCTTTGCTACTCAGCAAACCTGAGAGGTATTGTATCATCACGTATCAAGGAAGTAATATGCCAGATTGTTGTAACAGGTGGAATATGTTTGTTTGTAACACGTTGAATCTGAAATAAAGAAAGGACCAAAGTTACTAAAGGCTTTTACAAAAACATTTACAAAATGCAAGTACCTCAGTTTCGTACCTTCAATGCTTACTGCCTAAGTCACAATTTGAGACAATAGCTGCATTTTTGCACACAACATATAAAAATTATACTCTCAAATTTTCATACATTCAGTTAATTTGGCTAGATGAACATATAAGCTAAGGAGGTAATTCTGCACTAGCATTTTTAATTAAACATTTCACAAGATAATGCATTTTTATGTATATTTTATTCTATTTTACTTAAATTATATAATCTCTAAATTGCATCCTTATTTTTTTGTTTCTAAAGCTTCTTAAAATCACAACTGGTTTGTAATTTCAATGTATTTACATAGCATTTCATTAATCTATCATGTCTATAAAATAAATGCACTCTTATAATAGAAATACTTCTTGTACAATTTTTGTCAGTTCAGATAATCCACTGTGAACCCAAATCTGTACAGCAAAATGTGTGATATAACCCATTTTCCTATTACATATGTAGTCATATGATGTTTTAAAAAAAGAGAGGAAAAAAAAAATGATGTGAACTTGGGCACAATGGACCATGCTGTCAAAAATATTCAGTTGTCAAAAATGCAGATGGCATAAAAACACAGAAACAGATCAGTTATTGGAGGGGGGGGCAGTTTAATAGAAACTATTGCATTGATTTTTTAAATTGATTATGTGCTTAAATATGTGAGTGGGTATCCAGTAAGGTCTTCAAGCATACCTTGAGGAGGAAAAAGCTCCCTGATGACTTGTCCTTTTCCCGTAAAAAAAAAAAAAAAAAAAAAAAAAAAAAAAAAAAAAGAAAATAAGAAAATAGAGCAGAAGCAAATGGAAGGCTCTGCACAATGAAAACAGCTACTGAGCAGTTCTTGGGAACATTCAGTAAAAATTTCATTTGCAGTGTCTGAACTACAAGCCATTACTAACAAAACAGCACAACTAAGGGCATTCAAAAGCACAATTAAGGTCTGTAACAAGCTACCTGACCAATCTCAAAGACTTCAGCTGGAGGCAAGCTCTGCCTTTTCCTTCCTGACTCGTTTCCCTGAGAAAGAGAGAAATCTTGAAATACAGAACATACTTACAACTACTGTGATTGTTCCCTCCTGCCCACCCTATTTTTGCCCCTTTTGCCTGTAAGACTAGTGGCATTTTGGTGTGAATACAAAGCCTCCTTGCGATGGATATAGAGTCAAGTGTTCATAACAAACTCATCTCTTATTGCTAGGCAACACTGAGCAATGTGAATTTGTCACTTCTGTTTGGTGCAACTTTCAATTTCACCTCCAACTGTAACAATATAGCCTGCTATATTTTAGATGCCACTGTGGTTGGATGCCATCCCAGGAAAGATGTGAACTACTACTGACAGGGAGTGAATGACTGGCAATGGGCATAAGCAGTTTTTTGATTCTTATGCCTTGACATATAATTAATTGCTAGATTTATTCTTCTAAGAAACTCATACTTTGTGATTCCTATTTACTGGCTGCCTTTTAGAAAAGGCAAATGGAACAAACAAATTTCCAATGAGGGAAAGTTTTGTTTGCCTGTTTAGATTTCTTTTATGTGGTATTTGTTTTGTTCATATTTTTCTACTTCCACTGTCTTTTTGAAGAGGGGCTATAAGCAAAATTCAAATCTTAAGCACCCTCAGACAAGGAAGTACTATTATTTTCAAGGCACATAGGCACATGCAATTATTTATTTGAATCAATACATTTCTTACTGCTGAATACCCCTTGCACATAACACCACCCATTGTCAAGGAGCTCAGATTATTACAAAATGAATACTATAGTCACAATTTTTTCAGTCTGAAACCAAACTCCCCATACAATATAAAATAAGATTAATTCTATTACACGCTACCTAGGCTTCTTTTTGTTGTTGTTGTTGGTTTTTTTTGTTTGTTTGTTTGTTTTTTGTTTTACTACAGGACTGATAATTTTGTTTTTAAAACCTTGGTGTGATTGTCTGATCTGGCTATGAGGTCTCAGCTCTTTGATCTTTAAAGAGTTAGGTCTGTTTGAAGGGCAAAAAAGGGAAAACTGAACATTGATATTGCTTCACCACCTTTGTCTAAGACATAACTAGAAAAAAGGACAACTTTATACTTCAAAGAAAATACATGTCTTCTAAAAAATCATCATCAACAGTCATTTCTCTAAATGTTTTCAAATATTTCACAACTACATTAATTACAGAAATATGCCAAACAACTGAGAATCTTGGTAATATTTTAGTCTTTGCATATTTTCACTGACTCACTGAAAACAAAAGGAGTTTCTGTAACTGTATGAATGAACCATGGCATGTGCATGTTCTTTTAAGAAAGGCCAAGGGTGCAGTTCTATTTTCTTAGCTCTGCTTTCATATTTATGTGTCTCATTTCCAGCTCATTGCTGATGCCTTAGTTGCACTATCCATCAACACTTTTATCCTCCTTGTTCCTCAAAAAGAACATAAAATCCTTTTTTATGTCATGGTAATATTATTGCAAATAAAAGCAAATACCAAAATCTTTATTAGTCTGCCAAAATAATAAACTATTTAATAAAAGCATGCTGTAAAAATAAGGTCATTTGCATCACTCAAGTTTCTTGCAGAAAATACAGAGAATTATTGGTCAAAAAGTACAAAGTGACAGCAATTATTTCTGCTGTTGATCTAATGCTGCCTAGAAATGGGTTAAAAAATGCACTGAGGTTTCACAAGTTTTTTATCTTTAAGTGTTTGCTTTTAATGCTGTCGTATGCATAAGAGCCTGGGAGAATCAAATTTTTCAAAGCTGTTTTTTACCAATAGTATCCATAATGGAAGGAGGAGAGACTGGATATACCCTAATAGAAATCTTTTATGCAAAGTTTATAGTAACCTGCCTCCCATACTGCCACAAGATTTATCATTCAAATATTTACCATTTTTATACTCTTTATTAATTGTGTTTGGTTAGGATTTGTGTCAGCTTTAGTTGTATGGTTTCCTTTCACCTTTTCCTTTTGCTATCCTTGCCAAAGAGAGATCAATGAAAAGCTTCTATTTAAGAAGTTTGTTAAATGTTTAAAGTTTCTCATGCTGTTAAAATAACGTATCTAATGTCTGATCCTTTTTTCCTGTACTACAAACCTCACCATTATTTTCTCACTGCAGTTTCTCTCCCCATCTGGCAGTTTTGCAAATATGTTATTTGATAAAGCATAGAAAAATCAGTTGCCGTAGTGAGATTTAAATACTGCTTGTGATGTCCCTGTCTACTTTCCCAGAAGAACGTGCATATAAACATTGAAAATAAGCTAATCTTATAGATTTTATAACTATAAATTATCTCATTAATTAAACAAAAATTATTTCCCTTAATTACCATAATCTTAATGATAAGAATGATTTTTAGAGCAATGGAGTTAAAAGGTTTATGAAAATACTCCTAAAAATACTTACTACAATGATGTTTTGTATCTTACTCAGTTGTAAACTCCCATAATTCTCAAAATACTCTGCAAGGTATAGCTATGTCACTTTATATAGAGAGGAGTTGAGACAAAGAGCAACTGAAGTAGCAGGAATGATCGAGCAACAATCAACAAGTTACTGACCAGGGAATAAAATTTCAAGATTCAGATCACTGGTGCTGTCTCAGTACTTTTGGGCTCTATTGCCTCATCTTCTTAAGTGCAATAGAGATGTTCCCCTTCTTGAGATGATGAGACCTGTACAGAGATGAAATATTTAAAAAATGCATTATATATATTGAAATGAGTACTTCTTGGAGCCCTGTTAGTATATTCAATCATGCTTTAAACCATAAAGCAGCCAGGAGTTATTCTCCTTGCTTCACAGACTGCCCACTGCTGAAAGCTGAATTAACTCTTCTACGAAATAATGTTTAGAATGTCACATGATACATGCAGGGTAGATAAAAGAATGCATGTTAAGAACAGCACTTTAATTTTTTTTTAAATTCTGAAGGTGTGGAAATTCAGCATTCACATAAATTCCTATGTTCAGTCAAGATTAGTTTTTGTTTTTGTCTTGTAACCTGAGCCAGGTTACACACCAGGTAATATATGCAGCTGAGTAATTTCCAAGGTTTACTTATTTGGATATCACACAAAGTAACAGCATTTGTTGAACTAACAGCTCTGAGATATATGCAGGACTGTGTACTTCAGGAGGAAGGTTTTCAAGTCTTACAACAACCATACAATTGAACCACAGAGTATGTGCAAGAGCTTCAGCAAGCAGTGTTATAGTTTAAATTAAAAGCATTTGCATTGTATGTGCTTGGTATTTATTGGGCTTGCTATGCTATGTATACATCATTAAGACAGATGGGATTTTAAAGACTTAGATAATTGTATGAATGTTAATTAGAGCTTTGTCTATTCAGGCTAAAAGATGCAATAAAGATATAACCAAATCACATCTTTCAGAATATTATATCTTGTATTACCTGTAAAACTCAGCAGATATGCAAGAGTTTTCTACAGATTATTTCTGAACTGTGTTCTATATACAACATAAGTAAATTGTCAGCAGGGAAACAAACCAGTCTAACATTCCCACAGACAAAAAATTTGTGACTTGAAAAGACTATAGATTATTAAAATTCCCTTCAAATTTTTTAAAAAAACCCACAACCCCATCAACCAAAAAACCCAAACCCAAATAAACAGGCAATGGCTAGCAAATTGAAATTAATGTTCATACAGCAATAAACACGGCGAGTCCTCTGGGTTAGTGGTATAGTTGGCTAGGGACAGAGAATCTGTGACGTGAACCAGTAGTTCACAAAACTGCCTTTCAATCTTTGCAGATGGATGGTAAACTTTTGCTCATGTCAGCTCATATTCCTTAAGTTGTAATGATTTTTTTAACATTTCTGCAGAAATACAATGACCGCAAAATGGTTTGGTTTTGAAAATCATAATGCTTATATGAAGACCAGAGAGCAGGTGTCCTCGTTTTTGTCATTGTGCAATTTCTCAGGCATTATAGAATCAATAGGAAAACCACAAGAGATCTTTTTATTCAAAACCAGTTCTTATCAATATAGTAATCAGAAGTACCTTTCAGACTCTTGAAAAGTATTTCTTTACTTCAAAGCTTAAACAACATCAAAGAAAGCATACAGACAAAGCAGTGTTGGAAAGGAAGTAACATACCCTTATTTTTAGCACTTGCCCACTTGTCACTCTTAAATTCTCATCTGCCTTTCAAATGTAGTGTAAATCTAATTTTTATGCGTACTGTATGCTCATACAGACTATTTCCTCATTTCAGAGTGTGTTGAGTTTGACAAAGGTTTTTGTACTTTTCCTTAACCTGTTTCAGAAATAGCGCTGTCACCATTTGTCTCAGTAACTTATAGGATGATGAAAATTGACGTTTTTCTATATAGAAGTGAAAAGAATATTAGTTTTATCAAAGATTAGATCCCCTCTTTCCCTCCAGTTAAACGCGAATTTGGTCACTTCAGGGCTTACCGTGTAGGATGATTTTTAGCAATGGTCCCTGTGGTTGCAGGCTCTATCACCTAATAATTGACCATGACAGGAATTATATGTCCAAAGCCAAGGGGTAGAGTGAATAGCATATGTCAGGGTCAATTATAAGGTGGAAGACCCTGTGACAAAAAAGACTGCACTGATTAGAGCATGATGTTGACATGGGAGCCGAAGCCTCAATGTTATTTCAAAGGGCACTGTCACAGCCACCCTTCCTTCAGGACTCAAAATCAGAGGCAGATTATGTCAAGTGGTCTATACTACACATGATGTCATACAGTTCAACAGGACATTGGAAAGTAAAATTGATTTGCTGCTTCTTTTCAGCAATGAAATGCTTTCTCTATATCACTCAAAATTAAGCTCACTACTTTGCTAATTAGGTCAAAACAGCTCCATACTTACTAGATTAATTCTCTCCTGAAAAATCTAACTGTGAGATGAAGAGTATTAACTGTGACAAATTAAAATCTGTTTTGATTGTTAAAGTTATGCTATTTCTACTGACAAAATTGAACAAATAGGAACAGCAGAATGAAAAGAAAATAGTCATTTTTATTACTTATAGCTCTGTTATAAATATTTTATGGTACAGGAAGATTTTTGCAATGAAATAAATGGGCCAAAAAAACTTGCTGTTTGATTATTCCCCTGAAACTTCACCAGCTTTAACCTACTCAAATGTTTTCATCAATGATGAACTGCAGAACTATTTAGTAAGTGAGGAATGATCTCAAATTATATAGCACTACAATAAGAGACGATGGCTCCTTTTTTAGATTTTCATTGTAACTGTTCAATTTTCTGACTTTTTTTTCACTGAAAGCTGTTTCTCTAAATTTCAGTGTCTCTGTAAAAATATCTCAGCCATTTCTGCCTACAAGATCCCAGTGGTTTAGCTTATGATGATTGAGAAGATACTGTAGCTTAATCTCATTAAATAGATAGCTAATTTCTCTCTGTTCTCACAGATTATTATCCATGACCACATCTTTTTTTTCTGGGTGTTTTGCAGCCAATAGATGGCTAGCTCCCAGTAAATTAAAAACTATCATTTTAGATTCAAATCTGTTGGATGATGAACACATTTTAAGGACTATTGAGCCTAGTATCCTTCCTCTCTAGAATGGTTAATTGTCTCTAACATGCAGAAACACTCCAAAATTTCTGTCTTCAGTCTTCATTGGCAGTTAATACAGCTTCACAGAAAACATCTCATGTTAGATAACAGAGGCTTGGTTTTGACTCTTGTACATGTACTTTTTTTTGTAGTAAACTCATCTCCGATTTACATTTCTTTCAATGTATCATTAGATTAGCTCGCAAATTTGTTTTGTATTTAAAATTTCCACAAAAAATTGAAATCTTTATTTTTAAAACCCCCACATTTTTAATACATGAGAAAAAGTGAGGAGAATATGAAAATGCTTTAAATCTGTAAATATAACATCCCCACTTACATTTTTAATTGCAATCAAAATAGGTGTATATTGACCAAAAACTCCTTTATTACTACAGGCTTTCTGATGACCTGGAGGTGGTCAGACATATTTTTTTGTTTTGAAAGTACTAAAAACTTCACATGAAGAAAAATACATTTAAATCCCATGGATTATGCAGAACAGAAAAAAAGGTAAATTAATGCTTTTGCCACACTCAACAGTTTCTCTTGGTGGTAATTAATGTTAGTTCTTTTACTAATAGAGAGAGTAAAAAGTTTGAACACTGAAAACTCATTTAGTCAAGTGAAAAAAACTGTTCATCTGTCACTGAATATTAATTTAGCTTGCACTAATGGAAACAGTGGTCATTTTGACAGAAGCATGACCTTTTAAGGTTAATGTTATACTTTAGACTCTCTGAAGAATGGTAGATTGGTTAATGAAGTTCATCAAAAGCTTAGAAAAGCTGACATCATATAATTAGCTATTAGTTAAGAACTTATATAACGCTACCTTAGGTTAAATTCTGTTTCTGTCATAGTGGTCAATGAATACGAGTCCGAGAGTTCTAAAAAGTTCTACACAAAGGACAAAATAACGTTGCTGAATTTCATAGTTCAAGAATTCAAATCACCTATGAAAATGACAAGCCTTGCCTGACTACTACATACTAAGTACAAGAGGATTAGCTGTATATATATTTAGTAGTGTTTATATGGAGCACTTAAGAGCAAGGAGACCATAGCCCAAATAATTCATTCTTCACATACAGCACTGATCACCAGGGCCGTGTCTGTGTGAATGGCTGGAGATCAACTTTAAGCCAATGTAAGCCTATTTTGGTCTAAAAAGAGATGATCAATGTGACAAGGTGCCCAAGCTAATCCTAACAGGTTGTTTTATCTAGGGCATCATGAACTGTTAGTGTGCTTATGCGGCATTCAGAGCAACACTTTTTACATCTGTTGAACTGTAGAAATGTAGACAGTAGGACCCAGAGTCCTTGTACATATGAATGGGGAGAGATGCTGCCTGAGCAATTTTTTTTTTTTTTTCAAGATTTTAGTAGTATGTCAATGCATCTCATGCTGACAAACCAGAATTTTTTTCTCAAAATATAATTCTAGTTTATCTCGCAGAGAAATTGAAAATATCCTGCTTACTGTGAAGTGAAAATTCAGGGAAGCTGTCAAAGACAGGCAGCTAAAGGAACTCTGCTGTCAGTTTCTTAGTTAAAAGTCCAACCAACATACTCTCCTGTAAAATCTCAAACCATTTTTCTGTATTACATAGAGAACTTTGGGTATTAAGAGCAGCAAAAAATGATGCCACCTGTTAAATGAGGAAAACACCTCTGACTGTAAGAGAGTCAGAGCAGGACACCCTGATAAAGGCCAATAGTGGCATACTGCCAGCTACACCCATGAAAACTCCAACATTCCCGTTCTGGACCTTCTGAAAGCAAAGGCAGAGACGATTTTCAAAACCATTGTTTCAAAATGGAAATATTCTTCTAACGTTATATCTGCTTTATGTATGCAGTATTCTGTTACTTACGGGTGATTATAATAGGAAATCTTTTAATTAAGAACTTCATTAGTTCACCTTTAACTGCCAATCACCAGATAATTGGTCCTTTGCTAAGAGGCACTGCAGCTCAGGTATGCTAAAATGACTGTTTCTCAGAATAACTTACTGAAAGTAAGTTATTTTTGGAACTCATTTATAAGAGAACTTAATTAACTATTCTAGATCATTAGGGATACTGCATTGCTTTTTTCAATCCTCTGACAGGTTCCTCCAGTTATACCAATTCATTATCATTATTTTCAACTTTCTAGGCAGAAAAGGGTGAAAAAGAAACACTGAGCCATTGCAGGCCGTATGCACAAACTAGCCAGTACTACCCCAAGATGAAAGGCAGCTTTGGTGGATTTCATTGTGTGAGCTGCTGTGGCAGTATAGCAGAATGTCTTGGGGCAAGCAGTTTGAGAGATGGTGCACTGTCTTTTGTCCACTGTCATATGGCAGAACCTTTTAAGAGCAGTGACAGTACACAAGAGCTATTCCACTAGGTGAATGAAAGCAAACAGATTTTCTCATAGAATATATTCCACATTAATTTGAAACCAGCATCCTTTTGGGTAAAATGCAAATTTGTTTTGAAACGCCACTTTATTAATTAAATTTTGATATAGTTCCTGAATTCTGGGACCCAAATGCCACTTTTTTGTTTGTGCAAATAACTACTGATGTCTTCATCAAGTACCAGCAAAAATTCCAGTTGCACTAGTAAATGAAGCAGACTTTGACCCTACAGTACTGTGTTTAACTTCTACTTCAAACAAGTCTGACTTGTAAGTGGAAATTTGGATTTTTTTGTGGAAGCTGCAACTGAATACAATAGAACCACATCCCCAAAGCCCAGCTACATTGTATCAGCAAAAGATTAATAATAAGAGACCTTTTTGGAAATGCAGGATTTCAGAATTACTCTTTGCAGATCTTCTAACAATGCTTAGAAGATCTTTACAAGTCTTTGAGTATTTGTTCTAATGCTATCTGATTACAGCTACAGATTATATGGCCTCTTCATTTTACAAAGCAGTAGAATAATTTATGTACATGATTTTTACTTTCCATGTATCATTGCTAAGTATTGCAAATAAGCATATTCTAGACAAATTACTCTTTTTTATGACAATTAATAATAATAATAGTAATAGTAATAGTAATAGTAATAGTAATAGTAATAGTAATAATAATAATAATAATAATAATAATAATAATAATAATAATAATAAATGTATCATTCAAACCCAGAAAATATAGAAGTGATGTATCACAAAATTACCTTCCTCTTTTTTTTATTTTCTGGGCAATAAATCAAATAACTTTGTTCTGCCTTTTTTTACAGTTCCTCAGAGGTCTGGTTATTTTCTACTAGTTCATGTACTATGCAGTATTGTTTCATTCATTTTAGTAACCCCTGCTAAAAATCTCTCTTTTAGTTCAGAACAGGTCTCCATTATCTTTATGAGCTAAAAAGAGTAGTCCCAAACCCTAAAAAAATTCCTGTGGTTTCATCAGAATTTCACATCTAAGACACTTTCCTTTAGGTCACCTAGGGTGTTTTGAAGAGCAGAGAAAGCTTTCAAAAATTTACACATTATGTCATCATCAATAAACTAGTAGGAAACTCAAACGCCCTGTAAGCAATTTCAAGGCAAGTCAAATATTCAGTTTCATAATGCCAGTCCGTGATGGCCAAAAAACGAACTGAAGGGTTTTTTAAATGTATGTTTTTGCAATTATTCCAATGCAGAAAAATCTATTTTGTGTTTATTATCTTTTCACAACTACTTAGCAAATAAGTTTTATATTAATTGTGATTTCTTTTGAAAAGTGTATTTAGGAAGGCATAATCACCTTCATATCTGCCCATAATTATTCATTCCTATTTTACAGTGATTTACTGTATAAATCATGTGCTGACTAAAATAATCTAAAAAAAAAAACCCGTGGTTTTCAAGCTGTTTCATGAGCTGTACATAAAAAAAACCCCAAACTTATATACTTGCTTCACTATGCATTTATTTTGGAACATTTATCACTATAACAAAGTGCTTTTTTTAGAATGCTTTCTTCCATCTTTTCCTGGGAACTTCATACTCAGCACCCTATATGCAAGGACCTAATGTAAAGCCTGAGTGATACGGATTGTTATATAGCATGGTATATCATGTTACAGGGGACTGGTAAGTTAGCACTCACAACGCATAAAGCCTTTATCCCAGCCTGGAGGGACAAAGCCTTCTGTGGTATCTGCAGCGTTTGCTGCGAGTGAATTCAGCAGGAAGAGCGGAGGGGCATTCCTGGTCACTGCAGGTGGCCGGCTGGCCGTGCGGGGAGCGGGCAGTGCCGAGGCTCACCCTGGGCACGGCGCTGGTGCCGCTGACCCTGCACACCAGGCTCCAGCCAGGCGGGCAGCCAAGCGCGCTCCAGTGGCTTCTTGCCCCGTTTTAGTCTCACAGGCCCCAGCAACCAAAGCCCGGAGAGAGCCGGGCCCTTAGACTGCTGCTTGAAACTCTGCCACACCACCAACTGCAATGCCTTTACCTGCTCATACAGGACTCCTAAAGTTAGTCTAGCAATAAAGTTTATTCGAGAGAACTAATCCACCTTTCTTCTGTGACAAGGGGGAAATAAACTTGTGTGTCAGGTACCGAAAGATAGGGCATCTGGGTAAGCTTGTGACTTAGCTTGCAAACCTACAGGGAAGGGTATCTGTCATATGCCTCATGGCAGGATGCTCAGAAAACTGACCCAAAATAGGAATCAGATGAGGAGATCCGATTTTCGGCCTGCAGCAGCTGAACCCGAGGATGCAGATGGACATTTTGTGCTCGCCTGCGGAGCAGCGAGGCAGCCTGGTCAGCTCTGCTCTTCAACCTCCTCACTGCTCGGCGGCGACTTGTAAAGCCCCGCAGCAACTCCTGCCCTCTCAGCGGGCCCTACTGGAGTTGCGACCGTGCCCTACAGTACCCCCTCCGAGCACCCCAAGGGGAGGGGGTGGTCTCCTTCGGTCGGCCCTGCTCCGTAGGCAGCAGTCACTTGGAGCAGGTCCGTGGTTCTTCAGAAGGCAATAGACAGGCACGGAGAAGCGGCAGGAGGGCGATGCCCTCCAACAGGCGGCCCGGGCCTGCCAGCACAGCCGCCCGGCCCTCAATAGGCGCCCGGCGCTCTGCCTCCGCACCCGCGCCCTCCTCTCGCCCATCCCGGGCCGCGCCCGGGCCGCGCCGCCCCGGGCAGCGCGCAGCGCCGCGGCGGAGGCAGCGCAGCTGGCCGGGCACGGGGGGCGGCGGCACGCCGAGCCGCGGTCTGTGCAGGCAATCTGCCGGCCTGCCCCGGGAGGAAGGCCCGTCGAGGGGAGGCGGCCAAGCGGTAGCGGTAGCAACGGAGGAGCCGGCGGCGTGCGCAGCCCAGGGTGGCCGTGCGACCGGGCTCCTTCCCCGCTGCGCTTCCCGGCTGTCGCCCACCTCCCTGTCAGTGTTACCGCCCCCGGCCTGCGAGCAACATGAGAGTAGTGGCTTTGATCAGGTAACGCGCCGACGGAGCGCCTGCGTGAGCGAGCGAGGGGCGTCTTGCAGGCGGAGAAAGGGCGCGGGGAGAAGCCCTGCCCGCCCGGGGGTCGCGCTCCACCCAGCGCCACCCGGGAGACCTGCCCGGCCCTTTCCGCTCGGCCTTCCCGCCCATGCGCTTCCTGCTGCCTGCCTTTCCCTGGCCTGGCGGTTGTACCCAGCCGGCTGCTGGCTCTGCCAGTGGCCCTTGGAGTGGCCAGCTGCGAGTGCCGCGGCGGGCCGGTCCTTGCCTGCGCCTAGGGAGAGACTGGGACAGTTTCTTCTCTAGTTCTTCATGTTACGGAAGAATTAAAGAATAACCGGTGTCTTTTTAAAATTAAACAAGCAAAAACCAAACAAATAAACCACCCCCATAACCCAACCAACACACCCCCACCCCCTCAGCTAAAACAACACCTACAGTCTGTTTGCCCCAGTCGCTTCTCTCCGCTCTCCCGCTCTGCCGGGTTCTTCGTCTGCAGCACGGCGAGAGCCCGGACCGCCGGGGGCGCAGAGCGTGGGCCGCATGTTCTGCTCTAAAAGAGTTCTGCTCATTTATAGTTCAATATGCAGGTGCTTTTGCTTTCCAAGTATCTTAAGGTCTTTCAGGATAGATTTCCTCAACTCTTAATGATAGATTTTTGTAGTGTGTGTTTTTGCGAGTGATTAAATTTTGCCAGTTTTAAAGTGATGAAGCTATTGTTTCCATCGTTGGACACAGCCGTGTCTGTCAAGGGTAACTGTATTTGCTGTGTTTGCTATCTCTCCCCCCCCCCCCCCCAAGACTGCCCATGTTTTTTGTAAGTTTCTTTGTTAGTTTCTGCAATTCTTGTAATTTTTTTTAAGAAACTAACATTTTCTAATGAGTCTAATGAGGAGATCCGATAAAAAAAAAACAAAACAAAACCCCATATGTGTTTTTCTTGAAGAAACAATAGTTAATGAAAAAAGACCAAGCTAGGAAACCTGTAAGTGGAAAAGAATTCTGTAGATGGGAGCTGTGTATTTTTATTTTTGGGTGCAGTACCTATTAGTTAAGCCAAAACATTTAATGTATTAAATTCTTTCAGGGAATGTCTAATATCAAATCTTGTTGAAACTGAGGTTTGGCCACAACAACTGCAAATCATTCCAAACCTCATGCAGAGGAGAAAATACAGGAAATGTTGTCTGTTTTTCTAGATTTGCTCAAATATGGTGTAGGGAAAATCAGCTTAAAATTTTTTTATTTTATTTTATAGATAAGACTTTGTCTTTCAGGATTATTTACTTTGATATTCTCAAAGCAGAGGAATGTGTTAAAAGGCAGGATGGAATAAAATCCTATAAACAGGTTTCTAACACAATTGCTATTTTAATGGTCTATTTTACAAGGATGGATTTAGTTTCAGTAATAGTTTTAAGAAGAGTTTTAAAGAGACATCAAAGTGTCTGAAGTCTTTGTAACAGAGCTAGCCAAAGATCAGAGGGGGAAAAAAGTATTTGAAAAGTGCTTCTTATTTTGCAAAGGTCAGGATTATGTATGAAACTACTTTAACCTGTTTTTTTTTCCTTGTAGAATGTTGGCCACACTAAAAGTTGATAGTCTTGTTTTAAGGTGGTATTTATGGGGTAAACCCTGCATTTTGTTTTGTGCTAAATCATAGACATTTAAAAGCCAGTCTTCAACCTGAAATATGATGTTTTTCAACTCTTTACAATTCTTCTAGAATTTTCTTAACTGTAAGTGATTATACTTGTCTATAGAAAGGAATTTTGCTCAGAAGTCTTTTATAGATTCATATCTTCACGGTTACCCAAGTTTTGGGTTTTTTTTTTTCCTCTGGTATTTTGTTTATAAGCCTGCCTGTTAACATATTTGCAGAACCCTGACTGGCCTCACTTTGGAGCTTTGTGCTAAAAGGCCTTGTGATTTTTTTTTCTATGCTGAGAATTGAGAGGGGTCCTCAGGCTATCTCAGTACTTGTCTTCATCTCCCCTCTGTGGACTGTTCTGAGTCCACCTTCCTCCCATGGGCATGGGCTGTCTGGTTTCATTGGTCTTAACCATATTGTGTTTTACATTTAGTTTGGAAGGTCTTGTGGGTGGGCACCATTTCGTTTGTTTCTTGGTACTGGTAGTTTTTAGGGCTGTGGTAAATAATACAGAGAATGAATAACAGGACAGTAGCATGTGATTCAGTGAGTACATATTTCCACCTACTAACTAGTGGGCCAATGTAAGCAATATGGATATCAAAATGCATCTTGAAATATCTTTGTGTGTATATATATATATATATATATATATATATATATATATAAATTCATTGAAAGGATTACTAGATTTATTCCAGTGACATTTTAATTTTTGATTTCAATTTTTAAAAAATACTAAAATGCTGTAAACAGCAAAGGTGATTATCTATCGTCATACAATTATTTTTCTGAAGTGCTGTTTGTAGCTGAAATCAGAACTAGTGGGAGACTTTTATTTTTTTTAGCATAGAGTCATTCAGAAAGAAAAGAGTCTTTGTCTCATTACTCTGTTAACCCTGGAAGTTCAAATTATGAAGCTATCAAGAGCAGTGTCCAAAATTAATGAATGTATGATTTTGAATTTTCTTTTGCATCTGTATATAGGTTAGAAGGAAGTTGTCGGTATGCATTAGAAGAATATTACGTAGAGATGGACTCTCAAAGTAGGAATCTATCATATTTATATTTACTTTTTAGCACTGAAACAGAAGCAACTGCTTTATTAAAATATTTTAAGTACAAAAGGATGCCACATCTTACACTATTTCTACTTCAGGTTTGAATTACACAACAAATTAAAAACAGCATACAGAATTTTTTGCATGGATAAAGTAGAGATTGAGGGGAATAGGTAAAGGGTTTCATTCCTCTAGGGCTTTTTCAAGCTCTTGCATAGAGGGCTAAATAAAAGGGAGAGCTTAAAGCTGTAAATTCTGAAGAAGTTTGTTTCAAAATCACAGAATCATTTAGTTTGGAAAAGACCTCCAAGATTATCAAGTCCAACATTAGACTGATCACCACCTGTCAATTAGACGAGAGCACCACGTGCCATGTGCAGTCATTTCTTGAACTCCGCCAGGAGTGGTAACTGCACTACCTCCCTGGGCAGCCCATTCAAATGCTTGACAGCCCTTCCCATGAAGAAATTCTTCCAGATGTCCAACTTGAACTTTCCCTGGTGTAGCTTGAGGCCATTTCGTCTTGTTCTTCACTTGCTTCCTGAGTGAAGAGGCCAAGCCCAACCTTTGCTTCAACTCCCTTTCAGGTAGAAATAGTAATAGTGTGACCACAGGGAGCACAATAGTCTATCATAGCAAGGACTGCTTGTACTCTATGTTCTCCTGTGCATGTCTCAGTGATTCTTAACCAAAATGCAGTTTTACAGAGCTTGTATAGATCTCTGTTGCAGTTCCTGCCGTGGTTTTTGTGCCTTGGCATTTAAAGAAACTGTATAGAATCTCCACCTGTAGTTGTACTTCAAAGGCCATGAGTCTGAACATGGATCTTTTAAGCAGTGTGTATCTAGAGCACTTTTATTGTAGATTGTGATGTTTCTTTTTCTATTGATTAAAATCCATAGAGATAATTTTTCAATTACATCAAGAGAACAGGATTCTTTCCTCACTGAGAGTGCAAAAGGTTCCTGTAGATCTTGAACTAATGTCAAAATTAATTGTATTCTCTGTGTTGGCCTCAAACGAGAGTATGGTTATGTTGCTTTTATATTTTTTTACTAGCATTAATAATTTTTAGTTGCAGTGAAGTGCAGCAAAAAATTCATATGTTCTATGCAGTGTCAACTGAATCTACTGTAATAATTAAAGTTTTTGAAAATGGCAAGTATATTCAAAATGTTGAAAGTTTAGGCAACATACCCCAGGAAGGACAACTGTTATTCCTGACATAGGATCAATGAAGTTGGAGAAGACCTCTAAGGTGTTGAGTCAGGCCATTAACCTAACACTGCCAAGTCCACCACTAAAATGTGTCCCTAGGTGTCACCTCTGCATGACAGACCTGATTTAAAAGGATTACTAATGCTGGCAACTCAGTGGAGCAGATTTTGGCGTTTTGATCCAAATTAACTAGTAATGAGTACAGAGTAATTAGTCTCTGGAATAAAAGACAGTCTTCGAAGAGATTCCAGTGTCAGTGGCGCTTCTTCATGTAATCTCTCAGATTAATAGTAAGATGCAAAACTCTTTATGTGCTTTATGGTTACTGTATTTAGGCACTATATATAGGTAGTAAATATATGATGAAATCATTCTTTTTCTACTGTTGCTATTCTACAGCTCTTCATATTTCAAAACTTTATAAACAGTTCTGATAATATTTATATTTGAACAGTTAGTTAAAAGTTAAAAGGGTCTAAAACTTTTATCTGTACTTTTAATTGCCGCTATTTTCTTTTCCTTACAGTGGTGGGAAGGACAGTTGTTACAATATGATGCAGTGTGTTGCTGCTGGGCATCAGATTGTTGCTCTAGCCAATTTAAGACCTGCTGAAAATACAGGTATGAAAGCCACATTTCTTACAGGAAATTTGTAAAAAATATATGAGAAACAATGGAACCACAACCATGCCTGAATTAAGTTTCTATATATGTTTTTTCTGGTTTTGCATATTGAAGGCCAATATAGAAACTTGAAAGAGGTATAAAAAAAAAATGCTATGAAGATGTATTAAATGTATTTTTCCTTAAAGGGAAAAAAAAAGCCCACAAGAAGAGAAGATCAATTTAAAAAAGTCTTACACAATTTGAAAATAAGAATATTGATATCCTCGTGGTAAACAAAGGGGTTGTGTGACGTCAGTAGCACAAATACTAAAAGGTGATATATGATGTCATCAATGAAAACTGGCATTGTACTTCTAGGAGTGCTCTAAACTGGTGCTAAACTAAATGTTGTAAACCATTCCAGCTGCCAAAAATGTGCCATTGTGCTGCTGCTCATCCATTTTTATCTTTGTGTGTCTTTCTCCATGATTCTAACCCAGCATCTGTGAACTGAATTGAGGAACTGATGTGGGTTGGAATTGACCCTGATGCACATATTTTTCCTGCTTTTTTCCTTCATTTTAGGCTGTAATGATTTTTTGATCAGTTCCTCATGGGCTCCACTTTATTTCTATGAAAAAAGATGGGAGAAACTCAGGTAGTCAGTGTGAGGTGAGAAGGTGAGCTAAGTATTTGTATATTGGACTGAAATTGAAGTGAGACTGGAAAAGCAAGTGAGTTGTTTCCAGTTGGTAGAGGAGAATGCTAAAGTATAAAGTATGTTAACTAGTTTCACTGTTCAACATATATTAAGCAGTTAAGTATGGTCTTGGGTAACTTTATATTAGGTGGGTACACAGAAAGGGAAGGAAAAAGGTAGCTGCCATCACAAATGAGTCATGGGCAGAACTGGCAAATGCTAGGAGAGTATAGGAAAAAAATATTTTCTGGGTAGCTAGGACATAATAATCTCTAATCTTGTTGAAATATGTTGCCTTCAAACTAATTTATCCTCATCAGAAATGTAGAATATTGTCATTAAAATCATAAAATGCTCTCTTTAAGTGTGTAGTTGGAAATTTTATAGAAAGTTAATTGAGGTGCTTCAGGCAATAGTGGATTCTATGCCATTCTTTTTATTTTATCTTGCACCACTGTTGCCTGGAGAGTCTCAATTAATAAAGAAACTGTGTATGCTAAGCAGAATATCACTTAAAGAGCTTGTCATGTTCATGTATGTTGAAATCACTGAAATTT